CATTTTCTGGAATTTTCCAAGCTGTTTAATGGCACAGTCAACTTAGTGTATGTAAACTTCTGACCCACTGGAATTGTGATACAGTGAATTATAAGTGAAATAATCTGTCTGTAAATGTCACGATCGTCGTAAAGGAGAGTAGACCAAGGCGCAGCGTGTGAAATGAACATGACTTTATTTAGTTAAAAGTATCTCAAATAACAAACAAAACACGATACGTAAAGTCCAACGGTTACACTGACCGACTAAGGAACAAAAACCCACAAACCCCACAGGAAAACATACAGAAATAAATATGGCTCCCAATCAGAGATAACGAGCCGACAGCTGACACTCGTTACCTCCGATTGGGAGTCATTGACCAAACCTAGAAATACAACACTTAGAAACACCCAACCAAACATAACAAAATACACCCTGGCTCAAATACAAAAGTCCCGGAGCCAGAGTGTCACAGTACCCCCCCCTAAAGGTGCGAACTCCGGGCGCACCAGCATACAGTCTAGGGGAGGGTCTGGGTGGGCGTCTGTCCACGGTGGCGGTTCTGGCCCTGGTCGTGGTCCCCACCCCACCTTAGTCACCACCCGCTTCCCTAGCCTCCTCCACATGACCCCCACCGGTTTAAGGGGCAGCACCGGACTAAGAGGCAGCACCGGACTAAGGGACAGCACCGGACTAAGGGGCAGCACCGGACTAAGGGGCAGCACCAGACTAAGGGGCAGCACCGGACTAAGGGGCAGTACCGGACTAAGGGGCAGCACCAGGATAAGGGGCAGCACCTGACTCAATGGCGGATCCTGGCTGGCTGGCTCTGGCGGATCCTGGCTGGACGGCTCTGGCGGATCCTGGCTGAACGGCTCATGGCTGGCTGAAGGATCTGGCTGCTCATGGCTGGCTGACGGATCTGGCTGCTCATGGCTGGCTGACGGATCTGGCTGATCCTGTCTGGCCGAAGGCTCTGGCTGATCCTGTCTGGCGGAAGGCTCTGGCTGATCCGGTCTGGCGGAAGGCTCTGGCTGATCCTGTCTGGCGGAAGGCTCTGGCTGATCCTGTCTGGCGGAAGGCTCTGGCTGATCCTGTCTGGCGGAAGGCTCTGGCTGATCCTGTCTGGCGGAAGGCTCTGGCTGATCCTGTCTGGGGGAAGGCTCTGGCTGATCCTGTCTGGCGGAAGGCTTTAGCAGCTCCGGTCTGGCGGACGGCTCTGACGGCTCATGGCAGACGGGCGGCTTATGCAGCGCTTGGCAGACGGACAGTTCAGACGGCGTTGGGCAGACAGGCAGTTCAGGCGCCGTTGGGCAGACGGGCAGTTCAAGTGCCGTTGGGCAGACGGGCAGTTCAGGCGCCGTTGGGCAGACGGGCAGTTCAGGCGCCGCTGGGCAGACGGGCAGTTCAGGCGCCGCTGGGCAGACGGGCAGTTCAGGCGCCGTTGGGCAGACGGGCAGTTCAGGCGCCGTTGGGCAGACGGGCAGTTCAGGCGCCGTTGGGCAGACGGCAGACTCTGGCCGGGCGACGCGCACCGTAGACTTGGTGCGGGTGGCAGGAACAGGCCGGACCGGGCTGGCGACGCGCACCGTAGACTTGGTGCGGGTGGCAGGAACAGGCCGGACCGGGCTGGCGACGCGCACCGTAGACTTGGTGCGGGTGGCAGGAACAGGCCGGACCGGGCTGGCGACGCGCACCGTAGACTTGGTGCGGGTGGCAGGAACAGGCCGGACCGGGCTGGCGACGCACACCGTAGACTTGGTGCGGGTGGCAGGAACAGGCCGGACCGGGCTGGCGACGCACACCGTAGACTTGGTGCGGGTGGCAGGAACAGGCCGGACCGGGCTGTGGAGACGGATAGGAGGCCTGGAGCGAACAGCGGACACCACCCGTCCTGGCTGAATGCCTACCCTCACACACTCTGTGTGAGGCATCCGCACAGGACATACAGGGCGGTGTACCTCTGGCCTGGTGGCCTCCTGGATACTCCCCCTTTTCTCCTCCGTCAGCCCCGTCGTCCATGCCGTGTGCCCCCCCCTAAAAAAATTCTTGGGTTGACTCACGACCCTCCGACGATGGCCCTGCTGCCGCCGTTGCTCCTCTCTCGCCAGGGCCTTGATCCTTCCCCAAGGTCCCTTGCCTCCGAGCATGTCCTCCCAGGACCACGATGTGCCCACCTGGGCCATCGCCAGCCTCTCTATCTCCTTGCCCGGTGCCTCCTCCCATGTCCAGTCTCCTTGCTCCTGGACACGCTGCTTGGTCTTTCTTTGGTGGGTTTTTCTGTCACGATCGTCGTAAAGGAGAGTAGACCAAGGCGCAGCGTGTGAAATGAACATGACTTTATTTAGTTAAAGTATCTAAATAACAAACAAAACACGATACGTAAAGTCCAACGGTTACACTGACCGACTAAGGAACAAAAACCCACAAACCCCACAGGAAAACATACAGAAATAAATATGGCTCCCAATCAGAGATAACGAGCCGACAGCTGACACTCGTTACCTCCGATTGGGAGTCATTGACCAAACCTAGAAATACAACACTTAGAAACACCCAACCAAACATAACAAAATACACCCTGGCTCAAATACAAAAGTCCCGGAGCCAGAGTGTCACAGTAAACAATTGTTGGAAAAATTACTTGTGTCATGCACAACGTAGATGTCCTAACCGACTTGCCAAAACTATAGTTTGTTAACAATAAATTTGTGGAGTGGTTGAAAAACAAGTTTTAATGACTCCAACCTAAGTGTATGTAAACTTCCGACTTCAACTGTATATATATATACATATATATATACAGTGCTATGAAAAAGTATTTGCCCCCTTTCTAATTTTCTCTACTTTTGCATATTTGTGATACTGAATGTTATCAGATCTTCAACCAAAACCTAATATTAGATAAAGGGAACATAAGTGAACAAATAACACAACAATTACATATTTATTTCATTTATTTCATAAACAAAGTTATGCGACACCCAATTTCCCTGTGTGAAAAAGTAATTGCCCCCTTACACTCATTAACTGGTTGTGCCACCTTTAGCTGCAATGACTCCAACCAAATGCTTCCTGTAGTTGTTGATCAGTCTCTCACGTCGCTCTGGAGGAATTTTGTCCCACTCTTCCATGCAGAACTGCTTTAACTCAGTGACGTGTGGGTTTTCAAGTACGAACTGCTCGTTTCAAGTCCTGCCACAACATCTCAATTGGGATTAGGTCTGGACTTTGACTAGGCCATTCCAAAACTTCCAATTTGTTGCTTTTTAGCAATTTTCATGTAGACTTGATTGTGTGTTTTGGATCATTGTCTTGCTGCATGACCCAGCTGCGCTTCAGCTTCAGCTCACAAACGGATGGTCTGACATTCTCCTGTAGAATTCTCTGATACAGAGCAGAATTCATGGTTCCTTCTATTAAGGCAAGTCGTCCAGGTCCTGAGGCAGTAAAGCATCCCCAAACCCTCACACCACCACCACCATGCTTGACCTTTGGTATGATGTTCTTACTGTGGAATGCAGAGTTTGGTTTTCGCCAGGCATTACTGGAACCATGTCGTCCAAAAAGTTAGACTTTTGAATCATCTGTCCATAGAACGTTCTTCCATGAGTCTTGATGATCATCCAGGAGCTTTTTGGCAAACTTGAATCAACTTTTTGGACGAGATGGGTCCCATTATTAGGAGTCGCCTCTTTCACTGTTGACATTGAGACTGGTGTTTTGTGGGTACTATTTAATGAAGCTGCCAGTTGAGGACCTGTGAAGCGTCTGTTTCTCAAACTAGACACTAATGTATTTGTCCTCTTGCTCAGTTGTGCACCGGGGCCTCCCACTCCTCTTTCTTTTCTGGTTAGAGTCAGTTTGTGCTGTTCTGTGAAGGGAGTAGTACACAGCGTTGTATGAGATCTTCAGTTTCTTGGCAATTTCTCGCATGGAATGCTGCCATCTATCCACGGTTAGGGTAGGTTTTAATAGTCACAGTGGGTACAACATCTCCTATACACTTCCTGATAAACTCAGTCACCGTATCAGTATATGCATAAATGGCTCCGCCATTTCCTGGTTGCTAAAATTCAAATAGTTTGTCTCATTTCAGTTTATGTGACAAAATAAGCAAGTATAGTGTAGCGAATCATTGTACCACCTAAACCGCTGTGAAATATATTTTCCATAACCAAAACTATTGTATTATGTTCAGCCGTTTGAAGCTGGTTGTACAAAACCAAAAGTAAAAGAGACGAAATTTAAAAACAGAAAGCATAGAAATAGCGCACATAAAATAGATCTACCACTTCTTAGACTTGCTTTCAATGAGAATGACAGATTTATAACTCACATTTCTATGTTAATTTTGGTTGGGTCACCCAAAAGGTGAAGTTATAGCTTAAGGTTAGGGTTAGGCAAGGGTTGTGGTTGTGGTTGTGGTTAAGGTTGGGGTTAAGGTAAGAACCTCCCAAGGATGCCGGATAGCAGCACTGATCCTAGAGGAATTGCGTCAGGAAGATGGCGCTACGCGCTAAAGTCGCTAGCTAGAGAGCTCAGCAAAAATGTTATTCTGAGCAACTAGCTAGCTGGAAGGATTGGTACAGGAGAGGAACTGTAGAATTTTCACATCAAATTTACTGAAACAGATCGCATTGATAGCTTCCAACATTGCATCGATTTGTGACCGATCAATCCATTTTCACATCATGCTCGCGAGATGACACAAATGTTTTTAGCTCTCGCGAGTTAGCAAGCAAGCGATAAGCTAGAAGCTTGCTAGCTGTTTTGTTGCAAATTAAGAAATCCACCCGAAAGAATGAGGCCTGGAATGATTTATGGATGCAACGTGTTAACTAATTGTCAAATAGGTGAATTATACTTTTTAACTCATTAGGCTATAACTTTATGCTCGAATATATTTTTTACCTTAAAGATAACCTTAACTAACGCGTTAGTAGATGATTTAGCTTGTCGTTTAACGTTAGCTAGCTCGCTAATTTAGCGCTAGTTGGCTAATGGTAGCTAGATCTGCAAGTGTCAAAAAATGCGAGCCAGCTAACGTTAGTTAGATAATTAGCTAGCACACTGGCAAACATTACCTACACAGCTAGCCTGATAACTACAGCCTCTGTATTCACATGTTCTGACTATATTTACAGTTTAAAGTTATGTTGCTCACAATACGTTGTTTGGTGATATATTGTGTATCTAGTTATCAATGTTCAACTTCAATTACACTTTGCTGTGTCTAGCTAGCCAGCTGGAGATGTACTAGTTAGCGAACTATCCACTTGGCTCATGGCTAGACGCAGTTATTTGACAGCTAACTTAGCTAGCCAGTGAACTACACTTTTTAGCATTACAAGCTAGCTAGCTGACTGAATGTCCATAATGTACTAAAGTAAACCTATTTCCTATTAATTGATCTCAGGTATCTGCACAGAGGGAGCAGCCCATCATGACTTAAACTGACAACCCTGCAGAATTTTTGCAACAAACATAATCGAGAGCCAAATGGTAAATAACTCTTCTCAACATCACTATCTTCAGGGAATGTGCCACATCTCTGGTACCCCAGTTTATGTGCTCATGTTTGACCTCTTTATGTTTTCCTCAGGTTTTTGTAAGCTTTCAAACATGGGTGACATGAAGACCCCTGATTTTGATGATCTTTTGGCTGCCTTTGACATCCCTGATGCCACCAGTTTGGATGCTAAAGAACCCATCCAGGAGAGTCATGATGAGGCAGAAGGTCAGCTGAAACACACAGATATGTGTATGGAGGACACTGTATCTGTTCATCAAGCTGTAGGTGTGTCTGATGTTCCTGCTGTCAGTGTTATAGTAAAGAACACAAGTCACCAGGAGTCATCTGATAGTGGTGGAGAGGGCCCACATTTCAGACACCCATTGCAAAATGGGTTCAGGGGGTCAGGGGCCTCAATGGACTCGCATCAGATAGGCCACTGTGGTTCTAAGTCTTTTGTGTGTGCTTTGAATGGGAATGGCTCAAGAGGACTCTTAGGGAAGACCCCCGTCCAGCACAAACCTGAAGGAACACCGTCCTTCTCTCAGTCCTTTTCCCAGTTCAGCCCCATCTCTAGTCCAGAATCTGAAGACTCCCCAAGCAATGGGGTTGATATCCATCCAAAACAAGAGAGACCCTACTTCCCTGCTGCCTCTATATTTATGTCTGCAGAACCCCTAATGTCAGACAATCAGAAAAAACAGCTGTCTTACAGCATGTTTGACAAGTGCCATGAAGTAGACTGTGAAGAACTTGAGAACCTTCCAAGGAGCAAAGGAGAATCTATCAAATCAAAGGATACCAGAACAGAGGCGAAGCCTGACAGGAATGCCAGTAACCAGAAGGACAAGGGAGATTGTCATAGTAGTGCAGTGCTCCCTACAAATGATAATAACATTATTGAGTCAAGCAGTAACAATATAGTGACTACGTCTAATATGCCCACCTCTCATCCATGTGTCAAAACTCCAACATCCAAACTATCGTCTTGCCTTGAGGCATTAGTGGCTCTGAATGCCAGAAAGGATCCCAGTGAACCACCAAACTCTGGAGACTTATCAGTGGCTCATGACTGCACCATGAAGGTTAGTCCAAAAATGCCCATGTCACCACAAAGTCCCAGGAGTCCTCTTGAAGCTGTGAAGCGGTTAATGAAACCACCTGACAGTCCTGTAAGCATTTGCAGTGACAGCAGTGGCAAGGGATCCCCAGCACTGGCATCTGGCTCACCCCCAGCCATACCGAGGGTCAGAATAAAGACCATTAAAACCACGACTGGGCAAATCCAGCGCACGGTTACCAGTGTAGTACCTGATTCAGAAAATGAGGAGATCCACTCTGTTGAGTCCTCCCCATCCCAGAGAATTGTTGTTGAGGAGGCCTACTCTAGTTTGTCTCCCTATCCCTCTCATAATGTGATAAGCGATATCATTGTTGATATGCCCACCAAAAGTACACCAGTTGGTATTCTGCCATCAAAGGTTACTGATGACAAATTAAAGGGGAACTGCAAGAGGCCAAGACCAATGCAGTGCCCAACTATTTTTCATAATATAAGTAGTCCTGTAATGAGACCTATGCCGGTTGCCCAGCACGGGCCTTCTACACAAAAGAGGATTTCATCAGTTCAAACGGGCAACTCGCCCAACACAAGCTTCCTTCCCAAGGCAATGCACTTAGCTAACCTGAACCTAGTCCCTCACAGTGTTGCTGCATCAGTCGCAGCACGCTCCACCTCCCATCAACAGAGCCAACAACATGCACTTTCCTCCTCTATGGTGTGCAGCACTGTCCCATTGATGCATCAAGTAAAAAAAGATGCCCCTAATCCACGTGCTGCCATTCCGAGCACAGCAGCAGGTACTTTAAACAGACTGTTAAACAATGCCAACCCTGTACCCACATTCGTACCCAACCTGAACCCACCACCTGAGAGCAACATCAACTTGCCACCACGTGGATATTGCTGCCTTGAATGTGGGGACTCCTTTGGGGTAGAGAGGAGTCTCGCCTATCATTATGGCAGGAGGAGTGTGCACATTGAAGTAGCCTGCACCCACTGTGCTAAAACCATGGTATTCTTCAACAAGTGTGCCCTGCTGGCACATGCACGGGAACATAAGAACAAAGGTGTGGTGATGCAGTGTACACAGCTATTCATGAAGCCCATTGCAGAGGGACAGATGTTTGCACCCTTGATCACTGAATCCTCTGTGCATGTGGGCTCCCATGTGCCCCCATTATCCTCACCTAAAACCCAACCAGTCATGCCCCTCTATCCAGACAAAGTCATCCGCCACAGACTCCGCTGCCTGGAGTGTAACAAGCAGCTATCAGACTACAGAGGTCTCGCAGGCCATTACCAGAGTCTGTCAGAAGAAATGAAGGGACTGGTGAGTAAAGATTGAATTGAAATTATGGTAATTGCTGAGATGTTCACTTTCATAGGCCAGGTAATAATGACAGTATTTCTATACGTTTTGCTTTGTATTATTTTTTTCTGTATAGATGTGTAAGGTGTGCCCAATGCTGCTACCGAACAAGTGCAGCTTCCAGGCTCACCAGCGTATTCATGCCCACAAGTCCCCTTACTGCTGCCCTGAGTGTGGTGCGCTGAGTCGCTCTGTGGACATACAGAAGCATGTGAAGGAGAACTGTCTTCACTATGCACGCAAGGCTGGCTATAAGTAAATCAATACTAAAGTATATGCTTTTGTTAGGACCTTGAATGGGACTCGGTGTATACATATCACAAAAGTGTTCTATAACATTGGCCACCTTGTCTAAATCCTTTGTTTTCTTTCAGGTGTCTTCACTGTGATATGGTTTTCATGTCATTTAATGTGCAGAAGAGTCACATTGAAGAAAAACACTGTGAGGTCTTCTATAAGTGCACTATCTGTCCAGTTGCCTTCAAGTCTTCCGATGGATTTCAAATGCATTTGACAACTAAGCACAATGGCAGCATAGTGTCTCCTCAGTGAGTTTAACTAAATGCATGTTCTGAAATTGCATATTTGCTAACCCATCTTAAAGTTTTACATGATTGTTTGTAATGCTGTTTATGCTCTAATTGTGTTGATTTTCTGTTGCAGGTTAATCTTCAAGTGTTCTTGTGAGACAGTGTTCAAGAAAAAGCAGTTATTGCTTCAACACTTCCATCAGAATGCCAAAAAGCTTGCTACCTGTGTGTTCAAGTGCCCTGAGTGCACTTCAATCTTCATCCAAAAGCAGTCGTTAATGCAGCATTTCAAGGTTTGCATCATCCTCAAATTCAACCTAGTCACATTGACATAAAATGGGGCCCATAATGTTATGTTTTTGGTTCTGTCTTTTTCAAAGATGTCTGCCTATATTACAGGGGGTGCATGGAGGAATCTTCAAAGAGGAGGTGGAGAAAAGCACAAAACCAACAGAGATTATTGCACAGCACCAAGATGTTACCTCAGCATTCCACCAGCCAAAGGTAAACACTCCCATTAAACACTCTGATGCAACCAGAAAGAGGGCCAACTTGGCCGCTCGGGACAGGAAGACCAATCTGAAAAATGCTGGCTGGACCTGTGGAGAGTGCCTGCACTGGTTGCCTGACCGAGAAGCCTACATCTCTCACATGAAGAACAGCCATGGGAGGGTGAGGAGCAACTTAGTTATTTTGTTGCTCATTCAAACTAATTAGCTGTAACATTTTATATTATAGGACAGATTATAATTTAGGGACCATTTTAGATGTGGAATTTACAACTTTCAGGCCCTTAATGAAATTAAATCATTCCCAAGTCAGCTCAACCCTAATTAAGTAAATCTTCTCTCTGTGCTTTCTGTAGTCACTGAAGAGGTATCCATGTCGGCAGTGTGAGAGGTCTTTCAATTCCTCTACAAGTTTGAGAAGACACATTCGCAATGACCACGATGGAAAGAAGAAAACCTTTACCTGCTGGTGAGATTTATCCTGAAATCTACATTAAAGTACATTACTTCCTGAAAGGTTGGGGCATATCTGGCACTGATTGGCCCCTGGGTGGTGCTGCAGGAAATGGTCAAACATGTAAAAACAAAGCTGTGGTTACCACATTTTATGACTATTTTTTTGTATATGAAATAATGTATTCTTATTGTGCAGGTATTGCACAGATGAGAGGACAACATTCACCACAAGCATCATGTTGAAGAACCACATCAGTTTGATGCATGGGATCAGAAATCCAGACTTTAGTCTAATGTCAAAATCAGCCCCTCTGGATACCAGCAAAGTCTTGGGAGAGGTGATTTTAATTTTCTTATTTAAATTTAAAAGTAATACCAATATGTATGATCTGTTTTTCATGTTTTCTGCATTTTACTCATTGTCAAAAATTACACTTGAAATCTAATCCTTTAACTTTGACGTGCAGGGGCTCGTTTCAAAGAGACCTGCGGTGGCATCCCAGAGGGAGGGGAAGGATGGTGCTGCCCTAGAAGGCTCCTCTACCAAACGTCTGAAATCTCACTTTCGCTGCTCTAAGTGTGGTTTCACCACAGAGGATGGCACACAGTTCCAGCAGCACATACCTCAGCATAAAACCGATAAAAACACTCCCCAATGCCTGTACTGTGGATTATGTTTTGCATCTCGGCTGTCTCTCAACAGACACCTGTTTATTGTGCACAAAGTCAAAGACCCAGAGGAAGAGAAGAAGGAAATGATGGACGTGGAGTATGAGAGCAGAAAGAAGCAGGAAGAGGGCATGGGGAAAACAGTGGGTGTGAATGAGGGAGAGGACTTGCCACTTCCATTAGTTAAATCTGACCCTCTACGGGAAGAGGATCCAACCAGGTTGCACTGTGAGACTGCAGTAAGACCATTGACTGTAAATTCACATACAGCTCTCACCTAGAGATTCATGGATAGTCTTCAGCAGGCAAAATAGAATCAATAAGAGCAAGTTTGAGCTTCTTAAAAGCTATCTCCATTTCCTTGGGTAATAGTAGTCTAAATTCTTTTTGGTTCTTTTTTTTGTGCCTTAAAACGAAATGCTTTTTATGTTTCTCAAGCCGTTGGGACTGGCAGATGTTCCGCATCAACTGAGGAGATAACATTTATCTTGTGTAATTTATGGCAAAGATTCTAATTAATTATTTACTTTTATTTTACCATTTGAAGCTTGCATGTTTTGTATTGTATTAAATGTCTTTACGAGCCTCTGGTATATAACCACACCCACCTGTTAAGGCAAACTGTTTGGTTAATCAGTATTCTCTAGTGACTCCAGTTACTCTGACAAGAGACTCAGGAACATCAAGGATCTGTCCCTCAGGCTAACCTCCCATTTATGTTTGGAATAATGAAAGTCTATAGACTTTGCTTTAGTGTATGGCAGCCATATCAAATGCTTGGTTTCCTACTTAAGGATTGTTTTGTCCTTACAAAACACATGATAATAGATGGTGCTTCATGCAGGTCGTGGCGATACTGATATTATGTAACAGTATTGCAACTTCTATCATACTGTATGTGTATGTTGAAATATTTACTCTGACCTAGGTATCACTTAGCACATAATATATATTTGATATCAATTCCATACCACATGGTATGGAATTTATTAAAGCTGGTTAAACTACCAAAATAGCACTTTTCTACAAAATCAAATACAGGTGTTGGAGTTAAAAAGGCAATCAGCAGTTGCTACATACATTTTTGGACCTATAAATTAATGATATGTACCCATTGATTCTTGAAAAATATAACGTATAAATTCCTTCATGAGCTTAGTTCAACTGTCATACATTAGTAAATGTAAACAAACATGTACAACATGGTTAAAGCTATAATTTGGATATCATGAATGGTCAGTCCTTGCATCCAGAGCTATGGTTATAATTGTTAGTGCTTACGTTTCTCCAGCCCCATCTGTTTTTTACTAAAACGGGCAGGGAAAACACTTTATTATTTCTACTGCTGATTGCTGCTTTAAATGCCTTGCTGAAAGATCTTACACTTTTTTTTACTGTACTCTTGCTTTTGTACCCTGATAAAAGTGAGCTTTCATTAATTTAAAATGCTCTTATATCTATGTTTATAGTAGTGGTGGCTTGTCTTAGCGATGTCATTGTTTTTCTTGGTTAATTGTGATCTTTGGCGAGTGTTCATTGAATGTGAGAAAGCATCTGTTTTGCAAGATAATGCAGGGTGTTGAAAATGGCTCATTTCTAACGGTGTACTAAGGCAATTGAAAGAGCAGTGATTAAATGTAAAGGGTTATAGCATGTTTGAGTGCATATGAAATAAGCTGAAGATAGAGACCTGTGCAGCTCTTCCTTCCTACCTCCACAGTATATGGCAGTGATTGTTAAACTTGGGATGTTTTGGGAGATTTCACCTTTGGTCTTGCTGCAATGTAAAATGTATTGTTATTATTCTCAAAATGTATATCATCTCCCACAATATTCAATTTTATAAATTACTTTGGAGATTGATATTTATAGTCACATTGACGTATTTGTGAACTTTCTATTTAAGTGCTGTATGAACTGTTCATTTTCTAGTGGTTATCTGAATCAGTGATCATGCTTTAAACAGATCCACTGTTAACTCAGTGGCTGATATGAAACTTCACATCTCAGTGTTTTTATAGCCTGTCGAGAAACGTTGTACTTTTGATAATATGTACAATATTAAGGACTTGTAAGCTAACCTATGTACACAGTAGGTAATTAACCTTTTATTAGCAGCATTTTAAGCCATCACATATCCATTCACCCTGCATTGGCAATTGTGCCTTGCTGTAATGTTTACTTAAAATAATTGCAAATAAACATGTACATGTCTGCATCAGCATCCTTTGTCCTCAAAAGATCCCTTCTGATATGGCTGATATCCCTTCTCTGATGACAATGTGCTGGAAAAAATACACCTACACCTAGGGCAATTTGTTTTCCCTCCAAAATGTGTTTTCTCAGTCCAGTCAAACCAATCTGGCAAGTATCCCTCGCCAGTCTCCCCAACCGACTGAACAATATGGCTGTGTTTACACAGGCAGCCCATTTCGGATATTTTTCTGACTAATTGGGCTTTTGACCCCAGATCAGCTCTTTTGCCAATAATTGGGCAGAAGATCGGAATTGGGCTGCATGTGTAAACGCAGCCTATGATGCACCAAATCCAATCCCTGTCAAGCAATAAGCACACTGTAAAACTGGATCAATTCTACTCAAAACATTTTTTGAAACTGATTACCTCAAAAAAGTTCAACTTAAATTGCTGAAGTGAGCTGTAATACCTTCATATGAGTAATACAAATGCTGTTTTTTGAGTATACTCATTTTTTTCATGTAAATCAACTAAGTTATTTTGATTTCTCTATACATAAAAAACACAAGTTAAATTACATCAATATGGTGAAGTGAACATGACAGTCTTTTTAAGTATAAGTTGCAATGCTTGAAATGTTTGAGTTGAACAAAGTCCAACCTTAAAAACTATAATTTACCATTACTCAAATGTAACATAAGTTTACAAAAAAAGGAAACTGATTACCACACTTTTATGTTAGCATCTCACATATAATCAGTAAATACAAAACAGTTAACCACTCAAAAAGTTCAGAAGCGTTCTGTCTTCCTCTGTGTTGGCTTTAGCCTAGAGCAGGGTTCTTCAATTCCGGTCCTGGAGGGCCGAAACACCTCTGTTTTTCATCCTCTCCTTCGAATCAGGGGCTAATTCAGACCTGGGACACCAGGTGAGTGCAATTAACTACCAGGTAGAAATAAAAAACAGAAGTGTTTCGGCCCTCCAGGACCAGAATTGAAGAACCCTGGCCTAGAGCTTAGAGAGAGTAGAGACCTGTCTTCTTCTGTGTTGGCTCTAGCCTAGAGTTCAGAGAGAGCATTTGTCTTCCTCTGTGTTGGCTTTAGCCTAGAGCTCAGAGATAGCAGAGAGCGGTTGAGACATGAGACACATGTTTACATAGTTGATCGGCCCTTTAAGACAGCAATGCCTCTGGCCCTCTCTTTCCTCACTGTAAACCCCAATGTGGTGTCATTACTCAAAACTTTTGAGGAAACCTGTTGCACTAAATATATCTGAGTACAGTTACATTAAGTGATTTTGTAGTCATTGCTCAAACCGATAGTCACTGTGTAGGGGGTCCAGATTTGAGTTGTATCAGCTTGAACATTTTGAGTAATGCCCCCACTAAGCCACGCCTCCAATATAATTCCCAGCCTTTCTGAGTGAATTGTAGAGTTACCACCAATGACTATATTTGTTAGGGACAAAGACATGGTTGTTGAATTCATTCATTTTCAGTCCTGTGCCCTTCACCAAGTGAGTTCCTAGGCAAATGTTATCATTATAATTAAACTCTTTATGACTATACATTACATATCTCATAAGGCCTTATTTTTAGCCCTAGCTTTACCCTAATACAGTGGCCTCAAACTCATGGTTTACAGGCCACATCAGGCCTGCAAGTAGAGCTGCAAAATTCCGGTAACTTCCACAAATTTCCCAGTTTTAAAAAAAATCCTAGAAGGATTTCCAGGAATGTTCCAAACTGGATTTGTGGAAAAATTGGGAAATGTACCAGAATTTTGCAACCCTACCTGCAAATCACATTATGCTGGTGTGCAAAGTGATGTGTAATTACTATTGGAATCCAGCCAGAGTTAGGATATCCAACAGTAAAAAAAATTTATCACCCGCAACCTTCATTCATAATGACTGCCAGGGTTTGGAACAGTGGGAGGAGACTACCTAAGCCATTTAAACTGGAACAACCATTTCAGTAACGGGTGCAAAAATTCTAACTAAATTATTGGATTAGTTTCGAAAAATGTATTTTATTTATCTTTGTGTCACATTAAGATTAATCAATCAAAAACAATTTGTTATCATAACTTGAAAAAATGTAGTTGGTGTGACTTCTCAGTTAGTTTTGAGTTAGTACCACATAAACATTTTAAGTAATAATGACTTTTCATTTACTTTGAGTTAAACTTACTAGAAGTATTTTAGTTAAAAATGCCTTGGGGTTTACAGTGGTCGCCTGCAGTGTTGATAATTAATGACTACATCTCATTTCAATAGCCGTGCATGATCATATAAATACTGGTGCTTACACGAGAGCACGACATTCCCAAGAGCGGAGCAAACAGTGGTTTTAATCTGGACAAGTAGTTTAGCCTATTATTTAGCCTACCACACAAATACTGTTGTTTAGTTTAATAAAAGGGATGACAAAAGCTACATTAACACAGAGCTGCAAATCGGACTTCTTTCTTGCTTTGTTGTGATCTCATTCTCAGTCTCGATTTAACTGAACTTAGAAAAAAAGTTTCAAACGTCAAGGTAAATCCGAGGGGAAGTCAATGGGCAACAGGTAAATTCTTGTCATTTAGCAAGTGCCACTAGTAATTATTTCAAAATTGAGGCTACAGTAATTTATTACTTCACAGTTTCATTTAGATTTTAAGGTAAATATCACCATAATATGTTGGTTTAGTTAAGTGGAAATAATTGGAAATAATTGTGTTTATTAGTTGTGTTTGGCCATGCATTGATCACATTTTTTTATTCATGTTTTTAACCTAGGTCATTTCATGGGCAAGAAATGTGTGAATAGCTAATTTTTTTTCTCCCGTCGGAGATGGAGAGCTCTCTTTTGGAGTTCAGTCTGTCAACCCCGAGCGCAAGGCAGAGAGTTTGAGGGAGCTGTTCATTGAAGAGGTGCTGAAAAGTGCTATACAGACTCGGAAGAAACGCGGCTTTAGATCAAGTGACTTAGAAGGGGTTTAAGCTATCTACAAGTGAATGTTATATGTTGATGTTGCATTCATATTGTAAATGTATCAAATTCCATGTGGTACATTTATGTGCAACTAGTAGCCTATACTGTATGTTTGTGTAACCTACCTACACAGAGTACAATCAGCCTGTTACCAACCTTTAGTAAACTTTTGTTTAAAAAAATGTTCACAGTAAACAATTAACAATAGACTTTCAGCACTCTGGTAGGGAAGGGCACTCAACATGTACGGCACTTACAAAAATTACTGATGATTGGCTGAAAGTTCCTTTCCTGAGGATGGCTCACCCCTCACAGTTTTGGGGGATTTCAACCTCCCTACGTCTACATTTGACTCATTTCTCTCTGCCTCCTTCTTTCCACTCCTCTCCTCTTTTGACCTCACCCTCTCACCGTCCCCCCCTACTCACAAGGCAGGCAATACGCTTGACCTCATCTTTACTAGATGCTGCTCTTCTACTAATCTCACTGCAACTCCCCTCCATGTCTCCGACCACTACTTTGTATCCTTTTCTCTCTCGCTCTCCTCCAACACTACTCACTCTGCCCCTACACAGATGGTAATGCGCCGCCGCAACCTTCGCTCTCTCTCTCCCACTACTCTCTCCTCTTCCATCCTATCATCTCTTCCCCCTGCTCAATCCTTCTCCCTCCAATCTCCTGATTCTGCCTCCTCAACCCTCCTCTCCTCCCTTTCTGCATCCTTTGACTCTCTGTGTCCCCTATCCTCCCGGCCGGCTCGGTCCTCCCCTCCAGCTCCGTGGCTTGATGACTCATTGCGAGCTCACAGAACAGAGCTCCGGGCAGCGGAGCGGAAATGGAAGAAAACTAAACTCCCTGCCGACCTGGCATCTTTTCACTCCCTCCTCTCTACATTTTCTTCATCTGTTTCTGCTGCTAAGGCCACTTTCTACCACTCTAAATTGCTTGACTTCTTTCTAAACCACTCCTATGCTTTGACTTCTTTCTCCCCTCTCTCTCCAGATAAAATCTTGCGACTTGTGACTGCAGGCCGCCCAACAACCTGCCCGCTTGACCCCATCCCCTCCTCTCTTCTCCAGACCATCTCCGGTGACCTTCTCCCCTACCTCACCTCGCTGATCAACTCATCCTTGACCGCTGGCTATGTCCCTTCCGTCTTCAAGAGATCGAGAGTTACACCCCTTCTCAAAAAACCAACACTCGATCCCACTGATGTCAACAACTACAGACCAGTATCCCTTCTTTCTTTTCTTTCCAAAACTATTGAGCGTGCCGTCTTTAGCCAACTCTCTTGCTATCTCTCTCAGAATGACCTTCTTGATCCAAACCAGTCAGGTTTCAGGACTGGTCATTCAACTGAGACTGCTCTTCTCTGTGTCACGGAGGCTCTCCGCACTGCTAAAGCTAACTCTCTCTCCTCTGCTCTTGTCCTTCTAGACCTGTCTGCTGCCTTTGATACTGTGAACCATCAGATCCTCCTCTCCACCCTCTCCGAGCTGGGCATCTCCGGCGCGGCTCACTCCTGGTGTCCCCCAGGGCTCAGTTCTAGGCCATCTCCTATTCTCCCTATACACCAAGTCACTTGGCTCTGTCATATCCTCACATGGCCTCTCCTATCATTGCTACGCTGACGATACACAACTAATCTTCTCCTTTCCCCCTTCTGATAACCAGGTGGCGAATCGCATCTCTGCATGTCTGGCAGACATATCAGTATGGATGACGGATCACCACCTCAAGCTGAACCTTGGCAAGACGGAGCTGCTCTTCCTCCCGGGGAAGGACTGCCCGTTCCATGATCTCGCCATCACGGTTGACAACTCCGTTGTGTCCTCCTCCCAGAGTGCGAAGAGCCTTGGCGTGACCCTGGACAACACCCTGTCGTTCTCCGCTAACATCAAGGCGGTGACCCGATCCTGCAGGTTCATGCTCTACAACATTCGGAGAGTACGACCCTGCCTTACACAGGAAGCGGCACAGGTCCTAATCCAGGCACTTGTCATCTCCCGTCTGGATTACTGCAACTCGCTGTTGGCTGGG